GATATTTCAATGTATTTTATTAGTCACGAATGGGTATCGTGAGTCACACTACTTAACACAGACAAAGTCAAATATACCACAATAAAGCTTCCTTTCTTGTAAGTCATGCTCAGAATATTATGACCATAGTCAACGTCCAATCCAGATTTGATTTGATGTTCTCCAAATCAAATCTAGATCTGTGTATTTGCATTACTAATTCATCAGCTTGCTAACATCTTCTAATGCACTTGTGAAGAATTATGTTTATACATCATTCTGTCAGCTTTCTTTACAGTTTAATAATTTTTGTGCTTCAAATCTGTAAATAAACTCAAATCGATGCCTACTGGTTATACAATTTACTATGGATCTTGAAAATGCATTCAGGTGTGCTATTGAGTGGTGGGGGTGTAAAGATCTAACAAAATGCAATATTGTATAATAATTAATATATAAAAGTTGGTCGAGATATTATATAAGATAATTATATAAGAGTAGGTCAAGCATGTAGATGAGTTTGTATATTTGGGATGTGTATTTAGCAAGGTTGGGAGATGTGATAAGGATATAGAACAATGAGTAAATGCAGGAAATAAAGTAAATGGGGCTCCACACTCTATTGTGAAGTCAGAACATGAAAGGCACATATTATGGTAATTCACAATGCTGGGTTAGTCCCTACTTTAATGTATGGTAGTGAAAGTTGGGTGTGGCATAATAAGCACGAGAGTAGAATAAATGCAGTAGAAATGCTGTCACTAAGGAGTATGTTAGGGCCGAATCTGAGTGACAGGGTGAGAAATTGTGTGATAAAAGAAGAGTGTGGTTTGCAAGATGATGCTGTGACCAGGATTAAAAAAGGAATGCTTCGGTCATGTAGAAAGAATGAATGAGGAAAGAGTGACAAAGCAAATTTATGTTGCAGAAGTGAATGGAAGAGTCGGAAAGGGGTGTCCTAGGCGAAAGTCAATTGACCAAATTAGTGATATTATATTGAAAATGGGCAAAATTAGGAGTACCCTTTACCGACGAGCATGTATGCATAGGCATATAAATGTGGAGGATGCGAGAGAGGTGTCAGGATTGTGTCAAATGGAAGTTTCCAGTCTCTGCCTACCCCTTTGGGTGACAGATGTGAGTTTGTATAAAAGTGAAACAATGTTTATATAAAAGTGAAAAAATTTATTGAATTCTTTCAGCCTATTCTTAAGGTTTTTAATGACAAAATAAGTTAATTGGATGATTGCTTTAGTCGTTCTTCATTGCAGCTATTTTTGATGTCAGATAACAGCACAGATAATGCCACAAGTGTGATCAATTATAATTTTATCTGTAGCTGGTGTTCATATATTTCTAGAAATAATCTTAGACAACTGTGTCGCCATATTATTTCTCTTTTAATTATGCACCACTACGCAGACAAACATTGTTTAAGTAATTTATCTTCTTATAAACTGTAGCATTTCAGTTGTTGTGTAATATTTCAATCAACGCGCACATTATAGAAACCATAAATCTGAGTAATGGTCTACAACTAAACATAATAAATATCTACAAGACATACATCAAGAACATCACACACCTTATGCTATGACATTTCATTTTCAAATCATATTTTATATTAAATTTCTGTTAAAGTTGGTTACAGCAGATTAAAAAAAGGTTTAACTATAGATGTCCGGTACTCGCGTACGGTGTTGGGAGGGGGGAGGGGAGAGGGCCATGGGAATTCCCCCCTACTCTTCCCCCATTGCGGAAATGTATAGTTTATGACTAATCATTTTTTTGTAAAATTATAACCTCACTTTTTTTATACAGGAATATTGACACAAAGTTACTTATGCAACGGCCGTACGGTAACAGGAGAGTGAGAGGGGAGGGGGGGATCATGGGAAGCCCCGCCTACCCTTCCCCCGTTGCGGAAATGTAAAGTTTATGAGTAATAACATTTTTTTTTGCAAAATCATAACCTACAGAATATTAGCAAGTACTTTGCAACGGCTACGGCCCCGCAGGAAGTGCAGCCCCTTCGCCCTTGCGTAGCAAATCACAGGCACCTCGCCTCCGCAGCTTCGGCCCTCAGCCGCTACAGCTCACTTAGGTGCCTGCGATTCGCTACAGTGGGCGGAGGCTGCTCTCCCTCCGTGCCTACGGCTTTACAAAAACACTCTAGGGGTAGGCAGACAAGACTACGTGGAGTCGGGGTGTACTAATTCGGTTTTACAACCGATTCGATCAATCTTATCTATAGTCTGGTTGCCCTAAACTCTGCTATGATAGTGATAAATGAAATAATGTAATGTGAATTGTTATAATTTTGTTTTCTGAAAATCCTCTTGACTGCTCTACACTGCGACTCAATTTTTTGTATATAAGTCCCGCCTCCAGCCACAAATGGATTGTCTGGGTCCGAGTGATTAACTTTTTTATAAGTGTATCTGTGTTAAAAAAACAAATTGACATATTTGTGTTTCGTTATTGCAATTTTTAGTGAAATTTATTTTTATCGTAATTAATTCAAAAGGCATTTCCGAAATCCAAAAACAGTGTAAATGGTTCAAGCTTAACCCTGACAATCCTCCTAAATTGAAAATAAAATTAAAAAATTAAGTACCGGACATCTACTTCATAATACAAATTTGTTTCTATCATAATTAATTCAAAACACGTTTCTGACATCTAAAAACAGTGTAATAGATTCAAGCTTAACCCTAACAAGCTTGCTAGACTAAAAACATTATCAAAATCAAGTACCGGATGTCTATAGTCAACCCTAAAAGAAAACTGTCAGTCATAGGACTGCCCCTCAGAAGTGATAAGTTCTTAGCTTCATAAACTTGTAAACATCTTGAATGTATGTAACAGTGTGCTGATTACGCAAATGCCTTTTCCCCATCCCAAAAGTGCCCAAAGAACTTTTCACTTTAAAAACAAGTTTTATAAACCAATTTACTTTCAATGACAATTTAATATGTATATGAATTGATAAAATGAACTTCACCACAACTGTAAAAATATATAATTGTATTCTTAATCTTCAGTTTAATAATACTATGATTCATATTATGTCATAACAAGAGGGCCTATAATCATTAAGACAAACTATTTGAAATGAAAAAACAGTAAAAATTGTTTATATTCATAATCAAATTCTTACAGGGCAGTATGAATAACTATAGGGTTAAAATTTCCAATATGGACCATCGATTTAAATGCCTATATATTTTTTGTAGATAGTACTCACTAAAAGAAAGCGTTTTGCAAAGTTTTAGGTTGCGGAAACTTCAGAACGAAAAACTCAGATATATTTTTTTTTAATTTTTCATACAAATTTATTGTCAAATTTATTTTGTAATAATGGCCAACATTTTTTCTAATTAATGAAACTAAATTATAATATTTACAGTTAATACTAATTACACACAATATATAAAAAAAAGAAACTATAATATAGAAAAACTAACACTAAAAGTTATTTAAATAGACAAATAATTGATGTGAAACGTCAATCACTTCATGTTTCAATTAGTGTAGGGTTCGCACTTCGCATCAAAAGTATCAATACTACTTGGTATCAAGTACATTTAGTTAATTTTGGAGACTTTAACTTCCCAATATAGACCATTGATATACGAGGTTTTAGAGGTGGGAGGGGTGAGGGGGATGGCTACCCCCTGTGCCATCCCCACCCTGCGGAACCCCATGGTTTTGGAGATATTCATTGTTAAAATTTATTATATTATTTATTATTATTCTGGTTTCCGTATGCCCGATGAAATGAAGCGGGGATATGGGGGAGGAGGGTAAAAGAACTAGATTAAATAAAGAAAAGGGTGGGGCTTATGGGAGGGGGGGGTTTAGTGGCGGGGAAGTGAGGGGGGGTTAGAAGCGGGGAAGTTGTGCTCTGGTGCTCCGTGCCAGCTTCGGCGCTGCGGGATGAGCAGTCCCTCCGCCCTAGCGTAGGGAAGCACAGGCACCTGAGCTCGCCTACGCCGCTACGGCAATCTCGGGGAGGAGGGCGGTCACTCCTCTCCCTCCGCGCCTCCGGGCTCTTATATACACTCTAGGGGTAGGGCAGACAAGACCACATGGATAGTGGGGTGCTCTGATACGGTTTTGGGTACTTTTTAGATATTAAATAAGTAAGTGAACACTTTAATGTAGTAAGAATTAGATTATGCAGGAAGTTGCAAACAATAAATTACAAGAACAAAAGCTGTACTAATTAGGAAATACAAACAAGTTGCAAACGATGAAATACAAGTACTAAGGTGGAACTAAAATAGAGTAAACTTTATTCTATTTTATATACATATTTAATTGCACTTATCAGCTCTTCATATGCATCTAAATGGTTTGTCATAATTTTTTGTTTCCAAAATTAACGAAATGTACTCGATACCAAGTAGTATTGATACTTTTGAGTACTATCTACAAAAAAAAATATGGGCTTTGAAATCGATGGTCCATATTGGAAATATTAGCCAACTATAGAAACAAAGAAATGAAATATTGGTTTTTACATGGATCAAATTATTACAAAAACAAATATGATTATCATAACATGAAAACAAAATATGCATTACATAAATGATAACATTATAAAGTATTCCGGAAATAATTTATGTCCATAACATTAAATCATAAAAATTAAAGGAGTTGAGAGAGAACCAGAGAGAACCATGAACCATAAGGAAAAAAGAACAACAAATGATTTCCTATGCAAGACAAAAATAAATGACATTGTAAAATATGAAGAGAGAAAACTACCTGATGAAATGGTACAAACAGGAAGAAACAAATTACCCTAAAAATTCCTACACAAAATGTTACATTTACGCCAATAATACCTAATCAATGTTCATGTAGTCGACACACATCTATGACATCACCCCATTTAACTAGGACACCGCTTCGACTCGCTAAAATAGGTCAGTACATGCGGGTTTTCTCTTTATCATCATTTGGATATTGAAAAATATATATTTAATGTTTATGAACAAATGAAATGGACTTACTTTGAGCATTTGATGGCACCACACTGGCTATAAATAGATAAGCCAGTGCCACTGGCAAGCAAAAAGACGCTCGTGCCATAGCTGCCATAGCCACGAGCTTTCGCGTACTTAATAACTGAAAAATAATGATTATGATGAGGTTTTCGAAACTTGTAGCTTGTATAATGAATTTAAATTGATTAAATTCTCACAGAAAATTAATGCACAAGATGGCGCAATGGCGCACAAAGACTGAATGGCCACCAGATATAAAAACTAACGTTTCCTTATATATTATTTACTATACTCTTTGAACTAACGTTTTGAATGGCACAGACCACAGACACAGAGTTCCCTACTCTGTTCGATGATTATCGATGTTAAAAATTAAAACATCGATGTTGCCACATGTCGAACATCGAAACAGCGATGTCAAAGAACACATAATCGATTACCTATAACTTGTGAACAATGCGAACCCGCGAAATTAATATCAACTAAATGTTGCATCTCCTATTAAATGTTTTAAAATTTTAAATAATTTACAATTTCTAAACGCATCGATCACCTAAAAAAATATCACTATGGTGTGTCAAAGTTGACTTACAAGTGTGAACTGTAATGTCACAATTGACACTACTTTCGCTTTGTTATTCTGTAGTATCGTTATCGGTTGTCGCCTTATTACTATTCTACGAAAATTGAAATTCAAATTAATTGCTTTTTCCCTTGGTGTCTAAACCCAGTTAATTTTGAAACAAATGTAAGTATCTACACAATTCAATTATATATAGTAGCTGTTTTTTGAGCTTGGCATAATGAGTTTATTGCTTGCCTGAAGGTTATGAAAATAAATCACAGAGCGATCGTGAGCACAGGTAATCTCACTGCAACTATGCATTGAAGTTATCTATACTCACGATGTATATGCACCAGCATTCGACTGTGCATGTTATAAACGGCTGTGGATACCAAAGGTGACGGAAAAGTCTATTTTTTGTTTTTGTGTAATATGTGAATTTTTCCGCGATAGATTTAGTTGATATAGAACCTACGTCTAAATCGTAAATATTTTGATAATGTGCGAGCAGCTATGCAGGTCTGGGGAAAGAGACCAGTATCACTGCGACCTAAAAGATCTATTGTGATCGCTGCTATGGCTATAGTTCACTGCTAAGCCCTATGTCTTCAATGAATAGGAGTTGCTTAGCCGTGAGCAATTTTACTTCTTCTGGGTGGAGTACATAGTTTCTCGGATGAGTGTTACGTTTGCGCATTAAGGGTCCGCAATCAGTTAGGATGTGTAGAGGTGTTTCTTCCGTTATGGAACAGAACCGACACATCCTTGAGTTGCTTATTCCCAGGATGGACATGTGCTTTTTAAGACAACAGTGTACAGTTAGGGCTCTTGCCAGAATGCGCAATTTATTTTTATTTAATCCCAGGGCTTCTGAAGCGAATGTACGATCAAAAGCCCGGATTAAGGTTTTAGAATGTTTTAAGCCTTGTGTGTCAGACCAGATCTTAAGTGATTTATTGTGTTAAAGAGTTTCAAGGGTCAATCGGGCTAGGCTTCTTGAGATTTCACAAAATGGCTCAGGTCCAAATTGTATGCACTTTGAGCCCTCCTGTACAAGTTTGTCGGCAAATTCTATGTATTGCCTACAATACCCGCGTGACCCGGAACTTATCTTAAAACGACCCTGTTGTTACATCCCAGAGCGTTTAAACGGTTCACGCAATCTCCAACTAGATTCGAGTACACTAAGTTTGACCTCAGCGCTAGCGGTACTGCTTGACTATCAGAGTTTATATAAATTATATGGTTGATGTAGTGTTTTTGCATATTGATTTCCGCGCACCGAAGTATGGCGAAAATTTCTGCCTGGAAGATAGAGGTGTATCTACCCAAATTCATACTTAGTTTGAATTTGGGGCGTTCCCCGTAAATTCCAAAGCCTACGTCGAGGCCCATTTTAGACCCATCCGTATTATTATTTATCGGTATTATGAGGCTACCGACCTCACAAATAACCTGGCCATTCAGCCAGTCAGCCAGTTCTCTGGAGGGTAATTCCACTGTATACTTTTTATCAAAAGTGTGTAGTGGACGCATGGCATCTGAGATCATGCGTAAGACCGGTGATTCCTTAATTGAGTCGAGCATGAATCTCAATCTGTAGGGGAGCAAGCTCAGACCGCCCTGGGCGTTAATCTTATACACACTACTAAAATGATAACATACTTTTGTATTTGTTTAACTGGGGAGACACCTGATGACCTTAAATACAGGTTCGTCGCCTAGTTTAGGCATAAGCCTCTCACATTAATTTGTGCCTTTTTTGTCAAAATTCGATATTGTTAATTTAATGTGGAGAGAAAAATAAATTATTATTATTATTATAAACTAGCCATCAACTCCTTGTCTGGATAAAGATCAAGGGGCGTTAGGCATAGAAATGCCGTCCACTACCATCTCGAGACGGCGAGGCCGGATCTGCTACTTCTGACCGAGACGCAGGTGTCTTCTCCGGCTGACGTCACGTATCTCTCCTACCCAGGGTACAAACTGGAACACCCCTTTGTGCCTTGGGCTGGAGTTTGCGTTTGCGTCAGAGAAGACTGATAAATAAAAGGCGTGCGTCGAGTACAGGCATTTAATCTATGTATATCCTGGTCCATGGGCGGTCTGGCCATGGCCTAGAGCGCGGTGCGTGCGCTGGAGGGGCGTTAGCTACCGCTGCGCACACGGTTCAGCCTCGTCTATGCCCGGCCACCACACATAGCTCCGAGCCAGCGCCTTCGTTTTTACTACCCCCATATGCCCCTCATGAAGCTCCGTAATAACTTTATCCCTGCAAGAGTCTGGAATAACGACCCTATGTCCCCACATTACACAACCTAGTTCCATGTACAACTCATTTTTTCTGTTAATATATGGTTTTAATTCTCTCATTTCGACGTCGTTCGGTCAACCATTATATATCTAAATATTAATAGTCATTAATATATCTGACTACTCTGCTTAATATAATATCCGACGCCGTTTCTTTTTTTAATTTATGTTAATCCAATAGTAACGCTTCTGAAGCAAAATGTAAATATGTGTGTTCTGGGGTGTCTAATTCTTCCTTAGAAACCCCTTCCTTATGCTCACTAATCAACCTAGACAAAACATCTGCTGTATTTTTGTCCGTGCGAATGTATTCTATATTAAAATCATAAGCGGATAACTTAATAGCCCAGCGTTATAGTCGACTAGCCGCCGTGTTGGGAATACCCGCCTACGGTCCAAAGATTGTGACTAACGGTTTATGATCGGTACGTAAAGTGAACTTTCTACCAAATAAATATTGATGGAATGTGTCCATTGCAAATACTATCGCGAGGGCTTCTTTATGAATCTGACTATAGTGTTGTTCAGCGGAGGAGAGCGCGCGCGACGCATACGCCACCACCCGCTCGCCACCGCCGGCGGACGCGCGCTGCGCCAGCACCGCGCCGAGCCCACGCGAGCTGGCATCGCATGTTACTATGCTCTCCAACGACATATCAAAATGTGTCAACACTTCCGCACTACACAAAAGCTTTTTAATTTTATTAAAACACTTTTTATGTGACGTTGTCCATCTCCAATGTTTACCCTTTTTTAATAAGTCATAAAGAGTACTATGAGTAAGTAATATGAGTACTTAAATTTTTTATAAATTTCCCATAGAAATTAACCATGCCTAAAAACGATTTTAATTCCGATATATTAGTTTGATGAGGCATACCTAAAATAGGCTTTAACTTTTCCGGGTTGACTCGAACTAAGATTTTCTCTTGTATCGTGGGGGCAGTTTACAAACATAAATTGCACAAGGACAAACATCCAGACCCGGAACAACTATATGTAGGCCATACAAATACTTGTTCCGTGCGGGATTCGAACCCGCGACCCCCAGCGCAGCTACTCATTGCTAAGCCACTGCGCCACGGAGTCGTCAACTTTTGACGGTGCCGTCAAATAGATTCTCATGCCTGGAGAAAATATCATTAAACGAGTTATTTTTACATGGTACCATATTATGTATGTATTTCTGTACACTTACTTAGCTTAGGTATTTCTATTCAGATTAGGCAATTCAGACAGCCACTGTCTCCCTAATAAACTAGTGCTACCCTTATTTATTACATATAAATCTAACTGTTTTATATTATTATTATACTCAACATTTGTCTCCAACTACCCTATCGGATAAATAGCTGAACCATCGTAAAATTTTAATTTAAATTTACACATTTTAAAGGTAACTCCTTAAATAATTTAATGTATGTTGAATAACTTATACAAGATAATGTCGACCCTGTATCGACTTCCATTTTTAAGGGTTTATTATTTATAATTATGTTCATACACACCGGTCTATACTTTGCTAAAGACATCTGATACATCGGTTCCTCTCCATCATCAGACGCGTTCTGATCACCCTCAGAGAAGTCACCCGTCGCCGGCCCGCTCAACCAGTGCGCCGCACCGGCCGCAGCGTGGGTGCCCGCGGTAGCGCTCGCTCGAGCAGACATCCGCATACCGCGTGCCGCCGCCGGCCCCGCCCCGCGGCGCTGCTTCCCGCCATCCGCGCTGTAGCCGAGCGCGCGACCTCTGCGTGACCTTCTTCGCGCACCGTTTGAATTTGAATTATCCGATGTCATACGATCGAATCGAATCGATCGAATTCCTTCTTCATATTCATACTCTTCGCAAATGGCTTTTTTTCCCACAGTAACTGCATACAAAATTTTTATACCTGCAGTTTTGTGAGCTATGTTTGTCGTCACCGCACGCTGAACAATTTCTGTTTCCTAACTTATGTATCTTCTCGCTAAGTCCCCGGTCCGGATCTTGTTCCCGCGAGCCCTCCACAGCTCCCGCATCCCGCTCGGCTGCCTCTAGGGTATTAGCTAACTGTAGCGCTTTTTTATAATCAAGATCATTTTCTGCAAATAACCTCTGTCGAATAAAATCACTCCGCAGACCGCACACAAACTGATCTCGTAGGTTTTCTTCTAAGTTAGTTTTAAACTCGCAATATCTAGCCATCTTTTTCAAGTCCGCCACGTAGTTCGCTATCGATTCGCCTGCTACTTGCCGTCTTTGACGAAATCTGTACCGTTCTGCCAGGATTAATGGTGTTGGTTGCAGATGTGCACGCAGTAGATCCACCGCAACCGCATACGATAGGCTTGACGGCTTCTTGGGACTCGCCAAC